ACGGACGCCCCACGGGCACGCTCTGTCCGTACCCCACGTGCCGCACGCGCCGGACCACACGCGTCGATGCCCCGCACGCGTCGAAACCACGCGTGCGCGCCCGTTTTTTCGCCAGTTCACGATTCTGGCGGACTGTGCCGCCAAGAACCCCCCGCCCTCCCCATACCTCTCCCCCTCTCCCAACAACCATGGCAACCGATTCCTACATCGCCGCCCGCAAGACCTTCGCAGCGACGCTGCCGGCTATCGATGACGCATCCGCCATCGCCCCCTTTCGCGTGGCCCTCCGCCGGGCCCCCGTTCTTGCCGTTTTTTCGACGGGAACGGCGCCGCTGCCACCGACCTCCTCGCCCTCGATGCGCGCTCTCTCATCCTCGAGAAACTGTCCTCTTGGCCGTCCGGCCTCGACACGGCTGCCGCCGCCATTACCGCCAACGCCGACATCACTGGCCCTGCTCTCCTGGCCGCCCTCGAGCTCGCGTTGGGGCGGCCCACCCGCTCGATCCCCACGTTTTTCGAGGCCCTTCGGAATTTCTCGCTCATCACCGTCGACGCGACGACCGAGGGCGAGGCCCTGCTCGCCTCGGCCATTGCCTTCTGCACACTCTGCCGTGGGCCGCAGCGCGGCTTCGCCCTCGACGCCTCCGCATTCTTCTTCGCGGAAATGGCGTTCTTCCGCCCCTGCTACCTGCGCGGCTTGCTCGCGCCGTTGAAGCAGATTTCAACACTTACCGCGTCGGCGCAGGCGGCGACGCCGTGTGGTCGGCAACAACCTTCCTCGACCGCATGCGCACCCTCGCCACCACGAGGACCGACCCCATTCCCCGTTCTACCCCAGTCATGGCTATCCTCGCCACCGCCCCTCGCTCCGACGGCACCCAATTTTCGCCGCAGTCCCCAGCCGCAGACGTCACGTTCACGCTACACTCCGCGCCCTGCTGGTTCTGCGCCCTGCGGACAAAAGGAACGCGTTTGCTGTCACATGCAGCGGCCGTCTGCCACCAAGCGACCAAGGCCGCCGCACTACTGGCCGCCCGGACCCCTCGGGCACGCACCCGCCGCCGGCCTGCGTCCTCATCCTCGCCTCCCCCCACCGCGGCCTCCAGCTCCGACCCCCCGGCGCCCATCCACATCAACAACTTCACACGGGCAGAGGCGAGATATATCTCCTCGTCGCTGCCCATCGTTCCCGTTACCGTCAACGGCGTCACGATCGCGGCGCTGCTCGACACTGGGGCCGGCATGGCTGTCATCACGCCTGCCACCGCCCGCCGCGTCGCCGCCCACATCGATTCATCCCCGGGCGCCTGCCCGCTACTGATTCCGTACCACGGTGACGCACCACGGCCAGCCACGGGCACGGCCACATTCGATGTCTCCATCGCACCGTTCGGCTCTGTGCCGATCGCTGCAGCTGTCGCTGAGCTCGGCGCCGGCGCGTACGAGCTCATCATCCCGCTCCGCGACCTCGACGGCCTGGACGAGCCGGTGGCCATCACCACAGCCAATCGGCTCGTGCCCCTTGCTCCCATCGGCATCGCGTCCGAGCACACCCCTACCGACCGCCACATTCGCGACATCCTCATCGCGGCCAATCCTGCTTACGAGACCGACCTCTCGGCACTCCAGGCCGAGCTCGCCGAGGCGACGCCGGCACCGCCCACCTTCGGCGACGCAGCCACGCCCGCCCTCCGGCAGCAGATCCTCGCCGCGCTCGCGGCTCACCCGGCCGCAGCGTCTCACTCGGGATTCCGGCCGACGCCCACCGTCCCCCCTCGCCTCACGCCATATCATATCGACATCGTTGCAGACTTCGCCGCCTTCAACACCATCGGCTCACCCTTCCGACAGTCACCTGCGCTCGTCTCCATCCTACACACACACATCCGCTCTATGATGCGTACATCGACCATCGTCGAGGCCCCGCCGCACAACTGGGAATCCGGCCAGCCTTTCTGCCTCAACACCGCGTTCCTGGTGCGGAAGAACCCCTCCGACCCGGACGAGTCCAGCCCTGCCAACTGGCGCCTGGTGGTCGACCTGCGCCCGCTCAACGCCATCATCGCCGACACCATCCCGGCCGACTCTTCCTGACTGATCCCCGCTTGCGGGCATAGCCCGGCACTCGAGTCCTCGCGTAGTACGCGAGTAGCACATTCATTGTCGCTGCTCCTCGACCCGCCAAGCCAACTACTCACACGGTTCCGGGTGCCCGGGATGGCGTCGGACCTGATGTTCACGAGGGCGACCATGGGGTTGCGCACGTCGGCCGCATACCTCTCGCATGCCATGCAACTGCTCACCGACGGCATCGACCACACGTTCTCATACTGCGACGATGTCCTGATCGCGGCACCGACCGCGGCCGCCGCCACGGCGGCAGCCGCACGGCTCATCGCCCGTTGCGCCGACCTCGGCATGCAACTCAACCTGCGCAAGACCACCTTCCTTGCCACCGCGGCGCCATGGATCGGGCGGATCTTCTTCCACGGCGGCTCCCACCGCAGCCCCGAGTACACAGCGGCTCTGGCGGCCCTCTCGCCTGCCACCACCGTCAAAGGCCTTCAGGCCCTCCTCGGCTTTCTCAACTACTTTCGCCCTTTCATCCCCGCCGCATCCGCCGTCCTCGCCCCTCTCCACGATGGCACGCGTGCAGGAGCCTGGCGCCGACACGGCTGGACGCCTGAGATGGACATGGCGCTCGCCACCGCCAAGGATGCCCTACTCGCCAACGTCGCATTGGCATCTCTGCCAGCCGACACCACAACCCGACTCTCGGTCTTCATCGACGCGTCCGCCACGCACATGGGCGGCGCTATCTGCGTGCCCACAACGCGGGGCATGCGGCCGTTTTCCTTCTGGTCGCGCTCGCTCTCGGCGGCGCAACGAAATTACGGCATAAGTGAGCGCGAGGCTCTCGCCATCGTGTCCATCATCCGGGCCCACGACAAGATCCTGCGTGGCCGCCCGCTCAAGGTGTACACCGACCACAAGGCGCTGACGACCACGTTCGGACCGGCGGCATCCCGCTCCGCCTCGCCTCGCTTGGCGTCGTGGGCTCTTATGCTGTCCACACGCGACATCGTGGTCAGCTACATTCCCGGAGACGACAACCCCGTGGCTGACCTACTCTCTCGCCCCACCCGACACCCGGCGCCGTCCGCCCCACCAGCGGCATCCGCGGCCCACATCGCGGCCATGGTGCCCAGCACCGTGGCCATCACGGAAGCCCACGCGGCGGCCGGGCCACCGCGGCCCTCGCACGACCACAGCCCGGCTTCGCGCCGCCGGGTTTGCCACCGATAAGCTTGAAACCAGCGTCCGCGCCGCGACCGCTGCTTGCGGCCCGTGCGGCGCGCCAAACACACTGGTACTCGACGCAGCTCGCTACGCGCCCACTCGCCCACCGCGCCAACATACATCGCACGACGGCGCTGGCCCTTCCCCACGGCTGATGGCATCCGCGCCTCAATCATCGTCATCATGGACATGCTCTCGCGCTTCGCGCAGATCCACGTCGTCCGCGCCGCCGGAATCAAAGGCCGCGACTACGCGGACGCAATCACGGCCTGGTGCGACCACTACGGCGTGCCAGCACGTCTCATCTCCGACAACGCCGGTGCGCTACGAGGGTGCGACGTCGCCACAGCGATGTCCAAACTCGGCATCCACCACCACTTCACCACCCCCAGGCACCCAGCCTCCAACGGGCGGATCGAACGGCTCATATCCACGCTCAAAGCCTCCGTTCGCACGCACCTCGACGCTGCCGGCATCCCCTCGCCACCCTCCCTGCGCGCCCTCACGACCGCGTGGCGTTCCGCCATTCGAGCCTACAACACGTCCGCCCATTCCACACTCGGCGAGACGCCGCATTTCATCATGCTGGGTCGCGACCCCCCGGGGGAACTCGGCGCCCACACCAGTAACGACGACCGGGCCAAGCGAGCGCGCGCGGCCGACCGGCGCAGCGCAGCGGCCCCTCCGAGACGCCACAGCCCACGGCACCACCCGCACTCTCCGCCGGCGATTTCGTTTACGTCCAGCGTACACGATCCAGCAAGGCCGAGGCGCCCTTCGCCGGCCCGTTCCGCGTCGACCACGTCGACACCCTTGCAAACCGCGCCACGTTGGCCGACCGTTTCGGCGCGTCCCACACCGTACCGTTCGAGCTACTCAAGGTGTGGACAGCACCATGTCCGCCTGCGGACAAGCTGCTCGACGCCCACCTTGCCGCGCCGAGCTGGGCGAAGCGCGAAGGGCGAGCGGGCGCACACTCAACGCCGCCCTCAGCGCGGCACCCCTGCCCGCCGCCGCGCCCCCTTGTGCTCGCCGCTCGGCGCGTCTCTCAGCGTGTCAACTCCGCGGCGGTGCGGCACTCGACTACACGCCAGCCGCTTCAATGAATCATCATTCTTCCTGACTGATTCCTCGCTTGCGGGCATAGCCCGGCACTCGAGTCCTCGCGTAGTACGCGAGTAGCACAGGGGGGGGGGGGGGGGGGGAGTTTATTTATGGCCGAGCTGGGGGCGAGCCACCGCGGATCCTGCAGTCTGTGTGCGGCGCTGCCCGGGCGTGCACTAGATGTACTTGCCGGTGTGGACGTTGTGCGCGCCGGCGCGGCTGATGACAAAGGACAGCGCGGTGGAGCTTCCGGCTGACGGTCTCGCTTGGCGATAGGTGCCGAGCACGACGGAGAGTCTGTTCTGTGCGCGGTTGTCGTACGAGATAGGGTTGTGCGCCTTGCCGTAGGCGTGGAACCGCGCTCGACGCATGCGCGTGTCGGGCTGGTCATGGTGGTGGTGCTGCGTGGTCTCGCCGCCGGGGGACTTTGGCTTGACGCACGCTCCGTAGCGCTGAAAGTCGAACTTGCGCAGCCGAGGCCCGTTGTCAGCAGCAGTGACACGGAGCTGAAAGCCGGTGGCGTTGCCCTTCATCGAGAGGACCGAGTGAGGCCTGGTGAGGTCGAGAAGAAACGGCTCGGCCCGGCCGCTGGCGCCGATGACGCCGCGCTGGAAGTTTTGGTTGCGGCGAGCGAGGCGCACGCTCATGCGGACCAGAGCCCATGTCGGAAGGCGGCTGTCGGCGGGGATGGGCTTGATCTGGACCACGAGGCGGGCCGTGGGTGGGGTCCTGATCCTGGTCCGCTTTTTGACGTGTGCAGCGGTGTTGGCGCTGCCCGGGTTGACGTTGTACACGCCGAGCTTGACGCCGACGTGCTCGATGTAGCGTGGCTGCCCGCCGCCGTCCGGGCCGCCGCCAACCACATCGATGCGGCACCTGACCTGGAAGGTTGTGCCCGGCTTCACCTTCCTCACCTCGCCGGTGACGGCCTGCAGCAGTTCGGAGCCGACCGGGACGGCAAGCACGGGCGAGAGCGCGCGCTCTCCGCAAAGCCGGATGCGCAGATACCGCGAGTCAACGAGCGTCTTGGCCTTGGTCACCAGATCGCGGGAGTAGATGTGTACGAGGACGACGTTTTGCGACGAGTCGAACCGGCTGACGTACATCGTCTCGGACGGCTTGCTCTTGTCCCTCGCGGCTGTCCTCCGCACTTCGATGAACGACGACGACGCTCCGGCTTCGAGGCCGTGCCGAGCTCGATACTCGTCGAGAGCCTTGCCAGTAAGGTGGTCGCTGGGGTTGACCTGGGCGCGTGCAGCAATAAAGCCGGAAACGACGTACATCGGGAGCTTGCCGTGGGCGTCGATGGCGTCGGACACTTCGTTGAGCTCGTCTGGCGTGAGGTGGGCGGATGCGATCACACGGGAGTGCGCCCCTATCATCCCTGGCGAGGCGGTGAAGGTCGAGCGGCTGCCGTGGGACACGCCGTAGTACTCGAAGAAGCTGTCGAGATCAATGTCGGTAAAGTAGTCTCCTGGCCTAAGCTCCACGATGGATGCGAGGAGACCGCCCACAGTCGATGCGGGGAGTCTGAACGCTGCGCGATCTTCGCTGCGGACGTCGTAGCGCTCGTAAATGTCCTCCAACAGCTCAGGCTTGAAGTAGTTTGCCGGGTCTATCTCCGTCCTCGACCCGAGGAGCCCGCCCACGATTGATGCGGGGAGTCTGAACGCCGCGCGATCTTCGCTGCGCACATCGTAGCGCTTGTAAATGTCCTCGAGGGCTTCGTCCACAAAGTAGTCGGCCGGGTCACCATTCTGCACACCGCACCCTCACACTCATTCCCACATTCCTGTCGCAAGACAGCGTGTGCTTGAGCCTGGGGCAGACGTCTCTCTCTCCCTCGTTCCTGACGTCAGCTTTCGGTGCCGGTCTTCGGGGGTAAAATCGGGTTTAGCCTTTGCTTGTGCACACCCTGCGTCACACCCCATCGTAGTTCTGTGAAACCTTTAAGGCTGTCCCTACGCAGTAGTGTCTAACAATGGCTAACAAGACCGAGACTATCAACGCCGTACGCAAGGAGTGCTTGCCCTCGCTCGTTGAAGCCATCGCGTCGTTCTTCATGAAAATCCAGAAGTGGGTATCGCCGACCGCTTCGGGACCGGTCGAGTCCGCCGCCGTGCTCAAGCAGAATATTACGAGAGCAACAGAGGCGAGCCTCTACCACGTGACCGCTGGTCAGAGGGGGCTGGATTCGCTGAGTCAGACGTTCAACGCCATTCTGGCTGTGCTATGGAAGGAGGCGGTCGCCGGGCTGTTGAAGGGAAAAAATTTTGCGGGCGACAATCAGCGGGTCGCGAAGCACGTGACTCGTGCCCATCGTCGGGCGGAGGATTGGAAGCACGGCTGCCACCGATGCTGAGGCTGGTTGTGGCCGACGCGAGAGCTGAGCTGCGTGAGGCGCCGCACGGGCTAGAGCGGCTCAGGTGTCTGCGGAGGAAGCGAGCGTTTGCGTCGCACACGAGCCGCTTTGGCGGACTCGGTGGGGCGACACGGGTCAGAGGATCGACCGGCGATGCCGAGAAGCCACCCGAGGAGGCGCCCAAGAGGGGCGACGGCTCGTCGCTCCCCGGAGACAAGGCAAACAGGCCGTGGAGTCGAACGGCGCTGGTGGCTGCATGGTTTCCATGGCAGGAGGACGTCCAGGATCCCACGCCGCGGGCGGGGGAGGACCTAGTGCCAGCGGACGTGCTGGCTGTGGACGGGCGTCGGCCGCAGGAGCAGGTGTCGTCGGGTCGGGTTCGAGTCCTGGTGGCTCGAGCAGAGAGCCGGAGCACCGAACTAGATGCACCGGACCCACGCTCACGTATGGAGCGTGAGCTGGTGGGCAGCGGTTGGCCAAGCGTGGCCCTCGTTGATAGTGGCGCGGCCCGCACTGTGATCGGTGCGTCGCTGGCCGCGTTGCTGCTGGGTTGCGCACGTCACAGGGTGCGCGAGGCCGTGGGGAAGCAGTCGCGATCGCCACCCTCAGTCCGACTACGTGGTGCGGGAGGCCGCCCATTGGTAGTGCTGGGCGAACTGGGAGTTCATCTAGGCTTTGTTGATACAGAAGGCGAGCTATGGTCGATCGGGTCGAGTGCCGTGGTGGTGGACCATGAGCTCGTCACGGACGTCGTGCTCGGGCGCAGCGAGCTTGACCGGGTGCAAGGAGCATGGATTCGAGGAGCCGCTGCCGCAGAAGGTGCGGATGCCATGGTTTGGTTCCCGAACCATACCGGTCGCTCGCCGGTGGCGTTCGTGGGATCCGGGCAGAGCAGCGTGGAAGACCTGCAAATGGCGGTCATCGGAAAGGACAGCGGGCCACCCGCATGCGGCCGGCGAGCCACAGTGTTTGGCGCTGACACGGAAGTCAGCGACCGCAAGGCGCAGTACGACGAAGCGTACCTCACCCAGCGGATTGCAGACACCCGGGTAGCTCTGCGGGAGCATGGAGTAGAGACAGCGTTGGGCACCGCGGGGTTCAGATCGTTGATGGAGGCGGTGTGCGAGTACCCGTTCATGTTCGATCTACGGCGCAACGGAGAGATTCAGCCCACCGCGCCAGGTCTTGAGCTGGACATCGGTTTGCGCTATGACGATGATAACCCGATCTACCTCGGGCAGCGGGATTTTGGGCCTGATCTCACGGCCAAGATCCTCGACCGACTGGAGTACATGGCCTCACAGGGAACGGTGCAGGAGTCGGAACCAGCCAGGTGGAGGATGCCCGTGGTACCAGTGCTGAAGAAAGATGGCTCGGTGAGACTATGTCTCAATCTGAGGGCACTCAACCAGCGGCTGGCGGCCGAGACGGTGGAGCTCCCGGAAGTGGAAGCGATGTTGGACCGATTGGCGGAGTGCGACGTGTTCTGCTCGACAGACTGTGCTGCGGCTTACCTAGCAATCGAGCTATCGGAGGAAGCCTCCCGGATCCTCTCATTCCAGGTAGGCGGGAGATGGTGGCGATTGCGGAGGCTGGCAATGGGCCTGGCAGCATCGCCGCGACTGTTCGAGGCGTTCGCTCGCCATGTCTACCCACCACTGCAGAGCACGGCGCTGCGCAGGGAACGATACCTTGATGACGCGGTGCTAGGCAAGCTGCCGGGAACACCTACACGGCTGCTGGTCGACCAGCTGATAGCAGACCTACGAGCCGGGGCGGCAAACGGTCTTTGGTACGGTATTCCGAAGTTGGAAGCGTGCAAGGAGGAGGTCGTTTTCTACGGCAGCCGCGTGAGACTCGGACGGGTGTCGGTCACAGACGCATACCGATCAAAGATGCGCGAGCTGGCGTCGCCGAAGGACAAGAAGGAATTGCAGTCGGTGCTGGGCAGCATTGTGTGGCTAGGCTTGTTCCTCCCGCAGTTGTCGGCGAAGACATCGGCAATGCGGAGGGCTCTAACAGCGGAAGGCCGATTCCGGTGGACGGCAGAAGCCGAAGAAGAGTTAGAGGCGTTCCGGGCACGGGCGGAGCAGCAGATGCAACGCTCCACATACCGACGGAACCGCCGCACACTGCTTGTAGTCGACGGAGCGCCGCGTGGACTCGGCGCGATGGTACTGCAGATAGACGAGGACCGGCCAAGGAAGGAGCTGGTGCTCGTGGCGGCTTACTCGCGGCGTACCACAGCACGGGAGGCTGAACAGGCACAGATCACCAGGGAGGCACTGGCGTTGAGCTTTGGTTTGGAGAAGGCCAAGCGTTATCTCCTCGGAGCTGCTCATCCGCCGGTCATCGTCACGGACAGCAAACCGTTGGCGGCGCTGCTGATGGGTGCATCGTTGGAGCTGGTGCGACCGCGCGTTGCGCGGGCGATCCTAGCGATCGGCCAGCTAGCCGAATATCACGTTCTACACGTGGCCGGCCAGGCCAACGTGGCGGACGTGCTGTCGCGGCACTTTTGGCGCGCGGATGACGAATCAGAGGCATATCAAGCGTTGCGCGCGGAGGTGACGATGGCGTCCTTTGCCTACGGCTCGCGGCCTAGCGAGGAGGAGCTCGACCGCATCGTTGCCGAAGAGCAGATGAGGCTGGCGCCGTGGGAGCGGCCGGCGAAAATCAACGAAGCGCTCGGCTGGGGGCGAGTGAGAGACCCGAAGCAAGCCGCTAAGGACGTTGGCGCTATGGAGATCGGCGGAGATACCGCAAGTGACGGCGCGATCGCCGTGATGGTGACGAACACGGTTGACAAGAGCAAGGCAGGGATGCCATGGAGACCGTGGCTCGCCAGCTGGCTGAGGGACCCCGAGGCGAAGCCGGAGGAGCTGACGCTGATTGCGTTGGCTGCTCATCGGGCTACCGGCCACGGTGGTGCACAGAAGACAGCACAGCTCGTGCGTCAGGCAGCGCAGAGCCCATTGCGGGGGGCGGAGCGGCGTGCGGCAAGGGAAGCTGTAGCACACTGCTGGGGGTGCCTCCTTCAGCGATCAAGACTACCGAAGGCGCAACCACTGCCAGAGGCGACTGGCAGATTTGGTGATCGAAGCGAAGTGGGAGAGACCATTCTCATCGACCACTACACGGGCATTTCGTGCGCGGACGGGGACATCAAGGTGCTGTCGGCAGTGGACGACTGTTCCAGGTTCATGGACTTCGCGGTGGTGAAGTCAACATCGGCGACGGATGCAATCATCGCACTCGAACAGGTGTTGTCGGGCTGGCCGGGATCAGTCCATCGCGTGGTCTCGGACAACGGACCAGCGTTCGTGGCGGACGAGTTCGAGGCATGGGCGAAGGCCCGAGGGCTGCAGCTGGTTAAGACAGCGCCCAACCATGGACAGTCGCTGGCGCGGCTCGAACGGTTGCACAACCTGTGGTCGCGCTCCATTGGGTCGGCAATTGTAGACAGGCATCGTGGTCTCGACGAGTGGCGCACGGTCGACGTGGTCCGCAGGCTGGGAGAAGCGGTGCGGGCACACAATCGAGTGACCAACTGGGCCACGGGAGTCGAGCCCGAGGTAGTTTTCTACGGACGGCCCACCGCCACGGACGAGGAGTTGCGGGCGGCACAGGCCGAACGTCTCGCAGCTTGGCGCCAGCACCGAGAGGATGCGAGGCGAGAGCGCGAGCGGGCTGCGGCTGGAGGGCAGGAACCGGAGGCGCAAGCGAAGACTGTGCGACCGGTGCCCGGGGAACTCGTGCTACTGCGTACTCCACAGGAAGAGCGAGTCAAATTCGATCCGCGATGGAAAGGGCCACGGATGGTGGTCGGGCGGTCGGGCTCGCATAGGCTGTTGCTGGAGAATGGCGACGGGGAACCACAGGTAGTACATGTGGATGTAGTGGGGCTGCTGCCAGAGGGCGCAGCCAACAACGTGGATTCGGTGCCGGACGACGGGCGATGCGGCCGATGGGTGGTCGAGGACGTTGTAGCAGTCCGGAGGCTCGGTCGGTGGCCGTTAGTGGAGGTGGCATGGGCCGGGCTGGATCCCGATGGGGAGCCGTGGCAGAACACGGTGGAGCCGGCTGCGTTCATCTTAGAAGCGACGGTGTGGGCGCCGAAGGTACGGCGGATGCTGGCAGACGCGCGGGAAGCGCGGAAGCAGCAGCCGCGGGACGCGCGTGGGCGGCGCCGGAAGGCGACCGCGAAGCGCGGGAACGGGCGACGCTTGGCGCGGGAATCGGTGGCAAGGCGTAGTCGTCGGAGTCATCGGGGCAAGCGAGCGTAGGCTCGGACCTGGGATCATGGAGGGGAGCGGGGAGCTCACCACTCAAGGGATCGCAGGGGCGGGCGCTGCTGGAAGCGGCGCGGACCGCTGGGACAGGCGGCGATCGATCGCAAGGGCGATGGGGTCGCGCCTGGGCTGGGTCGCGAGCCGGGTACCGGCGAGCGTCACGGCGGGCTGCCAGCGTGGGCACCCACACAGGTGGGCGCCGCGCAGGGGCAGGGACTCAAAGATACGTTGGAGCTCGGGACCACGACGAGGTCGTCGGCCAGAGCCAGCCAGGCTGCGCCAGTGAGGGGACGGGCACGGGACCGAGGCGGCTTGAAAGCAAGCCGGGGAGCGCGAAAGGCGCGAGGGGCCCACAATGTGCTACGTCCATCCAAGATCTACAGAGCCAAGAGGCTGCCTCAGGGCGGTGGTGAAGCACCGCACGCGGGAGGACCGTATCGAGTCGGGTGGATCGGTGGAGCTACATGCAACCAGGGGTACCGACGCGCTCGGAGCGGTCGGGCGGAGCAGGGGCATGTCTCGACGGATCTGGGCGAGCCAGGACAGGCCATCCTGGGCTCGGAAGCCGAGCGTTGAGCTCGGGGAATGCGATAAAGGCGGCAGGCCGCCACCCGCCGGGACGCTGGCGGGTGTGCGGGCCGGTGAGCTCGTCGGTCTCTGAAAGGA